GCAGTGTGGAGTTAAAATACTTAGAAACTTTATCCACCCTTAGAAGCAGAGTTTTTTTGGTTTTTTTTAACTATTTACTGAAATTCACGGTATTTTTCTTTCTCCCTGATTTTTGCTAACTGAATTGTGTTCTGCAAGTCATTTTCTGAGCTTGTTTCCTGCTGTCTATTGCTTTCTAAATTCCTCTTCCCCCACCTGCAATAAACTAGAAGAATTTCTTCCTTTAGGAACAAAATTCCTCTGAAATCTAGAACAATAGTTCATACATGAGAAACAAAAACCTTTTTTATTCACATAATAACCACAGAGATCTTAGCACCACTTACACTCTTGGAGTCAGTGTTGACTTGACTCCAATTGTATATGTTGACTCCAATTGAATACATCGAGTATAAAAACTCAATTTATTTTGCCATTTTTGTTACCTTGTAGATTTCTGTGTAGTTTCTTACCAGGGCAGGGAGGAGAACGGCTTTTTTCCCCTGTTTCCACCAAAATTAAATTTGGAATCCAAAACACGTCGTACTTTTACTTTAACCTCCTCAGCGTTGGCAAGTAATGGGACTGGGAGCTTCTGCAGTCAGTAATGGATTGTGACCAGTTGCATTTAAAACTGAAAAAGAAATAATTGAGTGTACTAGAAACACCAAATAATCATGTTCAATTGATTCCAGGCCTGCCCTACAAATTTGAAGTACAGCAGATGGTGGAGGAACCTCAGTGGGAATTAATATTTGAAAAAACAAGATGGATAATTGAAAAATACAGATTTTGCCATAGGTATGTGTCTCTTTGTATTCTAAAGAATAGCCAGTTTAGAATTTTTGCATGTTTTATTATTGATCTTTCAATGAAGATGTGGCCCTGCTTCCTACAGCACTGCTCTTGTTTTTCTTTGAACAGCAGCGTCCCCATGGATAAAATCTTTCACAGAGATTCTGACCTCACTTGTTTGCAGAAAGTAAGTTTTCTTCTTTTAATTTTTAGCTTTTTTTTTTTAAATTGAAGAGGGTTTTTTTTAAAATGCAAACTATGAAAAGTCAACTGAAGTTACTTTGTTACAAATTAGAGATGTAATCACAATAAATGACTTCTGTAGTGCAGCTTGTTAACTTACAAACACAATGAAAATAACAGTGTCCATCTGAGGGAGTCGGGAGCAGCGGTTGGTAAAATACCCTTGAATTTAGCCCTTGTGCAATTTGATGTTTTAAAGAATTGAGTTTAAATCACCCATGTGTTCCTGTGTGACCATTCCTTTCTAAAACCTCTGTGGTACAGTTGAACACTTTGTATGGTGTTAATCATAAATAAATAAATAAAAATCCCTTTGGAATACTTAACAGCTAGACAGGGAAAAAAATAAATTCAGGAAAAGTGACGATTTAGAAACAATCTCCTTTTCTTTTGACCAGCTGTTGGAGTGCATGAGGAAGACTCTGGGCAAGGTGACAAACTGCTTCATCGCTGAAGAGTTCTTGACTCAGATAGAAAACTTATTCCTCTCCACGTACAAGGGTGAGAAGAAGAGCAATTCCGAAGAGAATGAGCACGAACAAATGAAACACTGATGTGATGGCTTTAACAAAACAAAATTAGGGAACTTTGATTTTATTTTTAAATTTTCTCCTCCTTCTCCCCATTATGTCAACTCTTTCAGAATTATTACCCATTTTAATAGTGACTGTTACAGAATCCGGTGGTATCGTTATGAAAAAGGAGTTTGAGAAACTCCTACTGTGTGTGACCTGACCTCGTGGGGAACATTTAATATGAACATTTTGTAAAAAAAAAAAACAAGTGCTACCGAATGAATTGCTTGACCCACAGTCTGCTGTTTGGGAAGAAGGACAACCCGTCAAGAATCCTGGGCTTCGGCCTTCAAGGAGAGAGGACAAAATCTCAAGTCTTCCCAGTTTGAGATTTTTCTTTTATTTTTTTTATCGACAGGTCCCCATCTAACTCAGAATGAATTTATTCCTGAGCGCTTTAGAGACCGTAAGTGTGAGTGCATTCATAAAGGAGAAGCTGCACTGAAAGGAAAACTTTGTACTGATTTCCCACTTTCCTGGTATCCAGTCTGAAGTTTTATTCAGTTGTAGTTTAATACATCAGCTGATTAATTATTATTTTTTTTTTAATATATTTTTTCTCCATCGATCCCTACGGTCAGGTAGCTTTTTGGCATCTCCTTTGCCATCTTGCTTCTATATTGGGTAGAGCAAGCTGGGGAGTTTTGGTGACGTCTCGGTAGCGGTTGTGGTTGTTTCCAGTGGAAATGCTGACTCCTGTCTTATTACAGGTCCCAAACTTTCAGCTCTTCCCTTCTGCGGGGAGAGAGTGTGTCCTTCTGCCACATGGTTGTGATTTGGCCACTTCTAATTGCTGCTGTTTCCCGTGGAAACAAGAGCTTTTGATTGATGGTGACTTTAGTGCAACAAACAGAAAAATATTTGTCTTTTTAAAAGCAAAAAAAAAACCCACCAAGTTTTCTATTCAGTCTCCTCTATAACGTGCAGTTCAATAAGAAAACCTACTGGTTTGTATCGGTTCTTCAGTTATAATTTCACGCAAGGATATTTCAGATAAATTAGTCATAAACAGATGGAGAAATTTCTTGATTGGAAATATTTCGTGAGCTCTGTCACTGTGAATCTTTATAGAAGAAAAACATGCTTAAAATTTTGCTTTCTAAATCATGAGGAAACTTGGACTGTTGTACAGTTATTACTATTTACACAGCTTTATCTTGGGCAAAGTTTGTCAGAGAGGTCTAAGATATATTTGAAAACATGAATTAAGCAAGACCTTGAGTTTATATCTAGAGGGGTGACAATGGACTCGATTATTATTTAAAAAAAAAATAAATAAAATGTGTGTATATATCTAGTTCTACATAACCTAAATGGAATTTTAAAATTTTATATGTTTACGTTTTTAACTTCAGCTTTTCCTTTGTATGAAGAGTTTGAAAAGCTTTAAAACTGTAGAAGTGCATCCCAAGGAGTGAAGTTAACTTCACTTTTTTTATCATGCCTCATAAAACGTTCGTCTCTCTCTGTTGCTGAGTGGAAGGTGCAGAACCTGATGGTGTGAAGATGTGAGCCCTTGGATATTAATAATATTACTACTGGTGTATTAATTGGATTTAAGGGTGATGTTACACACAGCAGTTTGTCTCTCGAGTGGAGGGGGTGGTGCGGTATCGAGCCTTTGATCTACACACAAAGACTCCAAATTTCCTAGGGAGTTCCTGGGCAGGGTGCTGGGAGGGGAAATACAACTGGATTAGGATGGTACCAGCAGTTGTATCTCATGATAACGGCTGTGAACTGGAAATGCCACGTTTGTGATGCCAAGTCATAATTTTGTTGAAAATAACTAACCTGCTTTTCATAATTTATTTTGACTGTGTGATTAATAATCAGAGTTTGGAAGTTGCATGCTTCTGAAAAGATAAAAATCTCTCTTACTAACATTACCAAGTTCTGCTACCAAACACATACAAGGCATTAAATATTTTTATTGGGAAGCTCAGCGGGGTTTGGTTTGGTTTTTTTTCCATCCAGCAATCCCTTTCATGCCGGCTTTGCTCTTGTGTACCTGTGGTGGGACTAATGTGCTCCTTCTTTCTGCAAGACCAGCTCTTACACCTTGCCAGGTTGTTGCTCAGGAGCTGGGAAACAGGTCAAGTAACAAGCAGAATGATGCCATCTACACTGGAAGAGTCAGCAGTTTAAGAAAACAAATAAAAAAGAAAGAAAAACAGGGGGAAAAAAATGTCCAAAGCCCTAAGATGTAACTTTTGGCAAATATCCTTTATGGGTGTTTGTTGGCTGGGTCAGGTTTTGCTGTCCCAGTTATCAGCAGTGTTTATACACAGGAATAGATATATAAATATATAGATATATGCCTTGTGTTCCCAGGGAAGGGAGGGGAATGCTAGTATTTTTAATTTTTTTTTTTTTAAATAAGTAACGCTTATACACAGGGATATATTTATATATATTATATGTATATATGCCTTGTGTTCCAAGGGAAGGGAGGGGAATGCCAGTATTTTTAAGTTTTTTTTTTTTAAATAAGTAACTTTCTAAGAAGAAATCAGTTGAGGAAAAGAAACAAACTTTCCAAGAAGAAATCAGTTGAGGAAAAGAAACAAACCTTGGAAACAAACAAACAAAACTTGAAAACAAACAAACAAAACAAACCCCCCAAACCAGCCAAACAAACCCCATTACCACTGTTACCATGGATATTAACTACTTCTTTTCCATTCGCTTGCTGCTTTGATGCTCCTGCTTGATACTAAACACCTTAAAAGGTGTGTTCTGTTATTTGTAACAGCTCCTTGTCTCCTGAGCTGAGCTTTGGTATTTCCTCCAAGCCGGGATCAATAACCCAGTGCTTCAACTGAGCGTGAGCCGCTAGAGGGGGCTTTGTCACAGCTGAGCCAAAAAGCTTTGAAGTAACATTAAAACTCTTCTGACTCGTGCATGTAAACTTCTGGCTGGTGATGGCGTGTTATGGGCAGCAGCGGGGTACAGATTTGTTTATTTTCCTTTGTTCTCTGCTTTAGTCTCCTTTGGGAAACGATCCCGTAGTGCTGTGTGGCAGGGAAGGCAGATCCCTATTTTCCACGTGGTTTTCACAGAGTCCTGGCTGTATTTCACTGAATTTCACTGAATTTTTTGGGTACCTGGGTACAGATTGGTTTCTTTTCCTTTGTTTTTACAAACTCTCTCCTTTGGGAAACGATCCTGTAGTGTTGTGTGGCAGGGATGGCAGATCCCTATTTTCACCCAAATTTGATAGGAGTGTGTTGGTTGTAGCTCAGTTTGTGCCAACAGCAGGAGCCAGGTGAGCCCTTTCCAGCTGTGCCGGCAGAGAATTGGCTCTGCTGGGCGTTACTGAGCAGCGGGGACAGCGTTGTGTTGGGGAAAGGGACACGAGGAGGTGACAAGCGAGCAGCGTGGAGGTGTGGAGTAGGGTAACATAATGGGTTTGTTTTCACAGGTAACTGCAGTGCACTCTGAAGGAGATCACCAGCTCACCTTTAAACAACTATTCGTTACCCAAATTTGACAGGAGTGTGTTGGTTGTAGCTTGGTTTCTGCCAACAGCAGGAGCCAGGTGAGCCCTTTCCAGCTGTGCCTGGCATTAGTGAGCAGCGGGGACAGCGTTGTGTTGGGGAAAGGGACACAAGGAGGTGACAAGCGACCAGCGTGGAGGTGTGGAGAGCACCTCAGTGTGGCAGAGCACACCTCTCTGCGAGGAGGAGGAGAGGTGCTGTGCCACTGCCAGCCCCACCAAGGGACATTGGGGTGCAGGCAGGGTGACTTCATCCAACCCCACGGAGCCAGCACTTGGGAAGGAGCCGGTTGTTAATAACCCAGTGAACAGCGTAATCATATTTGATACCCAGCAAACTATTTAATAGCCAAGATAAAAGCATTCGGGTTGTTTAATTGGAAATGTCTTGCTGGTTTACATAAACCTAGTGCCCTATTTTTATGAGATTTAGAATTGTGCCGAGAAATTGTTTCCATGGAAGCAGAGATCACTAAAGAAATAACCCACTCCACATTTCCTCCAGGATTATTCCTTTTACAGCCTGCTGTTCTAAATAATTAACTCCTGTAGTACCATTACAGCTTAGCATAGATTAAAGAAAATAATACTTCTTTTTGGTTTTAGTGTCATATAGTTTATATATACATGGATATTTGGAAAGAACTTTATCTTTACAGTAAGTCTGTTCTGTCCTTATTTACAGAGGGGGAAAGCCACTAGTGCAAAAAAGTCAATGAAAAAGTGCACTTTTTTTGGCAACTTACGCAGCTCTCTCAAGGAAATTTGAAATGATTCCCTCTTTGTCCTTTTCTTGCTGCTGTTCCACACTTTTTGTTAAGGAGGTGACAAGCGACCAGCGTGGAGGTGTGGAGAGCACCTCAGTGTGGCAGAGCACACCTCTCTGCGAGGAGGAGGAGAGGTGCTGTGCCACTGCCAGCCCCACCAAGGGACATTGGGGTGCAGGCAGGGTGACTTCATCCAACCCCACGGAGCCAGCACTTGGGAAGGAGCCGGTTGTTAATAACCCAGTGAACAGCGTAATCATCTTTGATACCCAGCAAACTATTTAATAGCCTAGATAAAAGCATTCGGGTTGTTTAATTGGAAATGTCTTGCTGGTTTACATAAACCTAGTGCCCTATTTTTATGAGATTTAGAATTGTGCCGAGAAATTGTTTCCATGGAAGCAGAGATCACTAAAGAAATAACCCACTCCACATTTCCTCCAGGATTATTCCTTTTACAGCCTGCTGTTCTAAATAATTAACTCCTGTAGTACCATTACAGCTTAGCATAGATTAAAGAAAATAATACTTCTTTTTGGTTTTAGTGTCATATAGTTTATATATACATGGATATTTGGAAAGAACTTCATCTTTACAATAAGTCTCTTCTGTCCTTATTTAGAGGGGGAAAGCCACTAGTGCAAAAAAGTCACTGAAAAAGTGCACTTTTTTTGGCAACTTACGCAGCTCTCTCAAGGAAATTTGAAATGATTCCCTCTTTGTCCTTTTCTTGCTGCTGTTCCACACTTTTTGTTTGGTGATGGGTATATTCTGAAACCATCGTTGTGCTTCTGGCAACCTTTGAGGGAAGAGACAGTGCAGTTTTTCATTAAGGTAATGGTGATGAGGATCCTCCTCCAGTAGGGAAAACACCATCTCCTTTAGTTACCTGTGGTTCTTCTCCCATATGTTACTTCTGACAAATCAGTTAATTTTTCTCCAGTGTCTGTAAAAACTGTCAACTGATAGAATCATAGAATGGTTACACTTGGAAGGGACCTCAAAGATCATCAAGTTCCAACCCCCCTGCCCTGAGAAGAACCAGCTTAAAGTGCAGCTTGTTGATTTCTCTAGGAATTGGGTACTAGATGCCAGTTGTTTTGGAAGAAGAACCTGTTTGGTGGGTCTGATTTTTATGTCGATAAAGGCAGCAGTACATCTGCATATAGAACAAGTAGCTTCCATGGGTGGATTAAAGCTTCAGCCTCCCATCATCTGGGACTTCATTCACACTTTTCACCTGCAACATGGAGCTTCTCCTGGGGGTTTGCCTGGGTTTGATTCTGGCGGTGGCTTCAGCAGAGCAGAACAACTGCACCCATGCAACCAACAAGTGGACAGTCTGTGCCCAGGATGGCCCTGGGAGCTGCACCTGCACGCTGGTGGGTTCAAATCGCGGGGTAGACTGTTCCAGGCTGACCTCAAAATGCTTGCTGGTGAAGGCAGAAATGATCCCCCTGCAGCAGAAGTGCTTCTGGGGCCATCCCCGTGGGCAGTTGAATAATAATGGCATTTACAACCCAGACTGCGAGGAGAACAATGCCTTCACAGCCCAGCAGTGCAATCAAACCAACACGTGCTGCTGTATGAACATGGCCAGAGTCAGTAGAACTGACATGGGTGACAAAAGCCTGAGCTGCTGCAAACTGGTTAGAACGAGCTGTATCTATGTTGAAATGAAGCACAAAAAAAGGTTCAGTGCCTTTGATGTTTCCGACGTAGCAAACACCCTGAGAGATCTGTTTGAGAGGCAACACAAACTGCACCCCAAGTTCATCACAGCCGTGAAGTTCAACTCCCTGTGTATCCAGATCTGCCTGAACCAGCAGCTCTCCCAGAAATCTAGGTGTGATGTAGATATAGCTGATGTCACCTATTACTGAAAAAGATGTGAAAGATGACTCCATGTTTCATTCCAACAGAACATGAACTGTCTCTGTCCATGGAGATGCTCTGCATATTCAAAAAATAAGGATTTATTACGTTGATGAAAAGCCACCAGACTTCTGCATGACACAACTGGCTGCTGGCATTAGTGCTGTGGTGACGGTGGTGACACTGACTGCTGGCCTTGGCATCGCTGCGCTGCTTGTCCTGAGGTGGCTGCGGACGAGAAAACATGTGAAAGTGGAGATTAAGGAAATGGGTGAAATAAAAGCACTGAGCTTACAGCTGCCCTGATCTGGAGAAAAAAACACCCCAAAGACATCTGAAAAAAGAAAGGCAACAACAGGAAGGGAAAAAAAAAAAAAGGCACAAAATGCAAATAGCAAACAGACTCCATGGATGGATTTGGGGAGGTTTTATTTCCTTTTTAGGGGAATTTATACAGTGATTGCTCTGAATTATTCTAGTTTAGCAAGAGTGACATTTTTGGGTATAAACTGATTTGTGAGTCAGTTACCTAGATATTTGAAATTAGTCCCAATTTAGAGGCAAAGAAAACTGCCACAGCTGTCTGTTTAGCATAACGTGGAAGGCTTTCACTCGTGCTGCAGGCCTGCTTCAGCCTGCTTAGATAATCTCTGAGTGGGTCTTGGAGTAATTGGGTTACACAGCTGCTTTTCTGTTGGGAAAGACTTTATTTTTTAAATAAATAAATAAATAAAAAGTGGGTTGGTTGGTTTGTTTTAAGTTGCTGGAATGTTTTTTATCAACAAATAATTTTGGAAATATTACTAAATAACCAAATAAGGTGGTGATAAGATACTCTATAGCACCAGAGGCTTTTATGCAGAGTCATTTGTTAGGAAATGTTGCTGCAGCCCCTTCTAGGGATCCTCTCCACTCTTCTAGGTGCGGAGATCCCAACTTTCCCAGTTTGTATTCCGGCAGCACCACGAGCTACTCCCACTTGTGCTCTCTTTAACAAGGACCTGACATTCCCTGTCAGCAAAGATCCCTTGATCCAGCTGCGAGTGTGACTTGACCTTGGGGTTCTGCCCAAATCCACACTCTGGTAACAGCTTTCTGGCTACCTAAGTTCCCCTTGTAGTTTTAAGGTGTTTTTCAGTGTTGTGCAGCTTCACAGAAGTACTACACAATGCTTCAGGACAAGCTGAAAAAGAGCTTTATTCTAGTCGAGCTGCAGGGGGAATTTAAGAGCAGAGTGTAATTACTGAGGCTGGAATTTGGCCAAGACACTAGAACTGGACTTCTTCGCTACCTACTCATCTGCTTGAGGTCACATCCACCATGAAGGACATTTTAAAGAAAATAATTCTAGTTGTTAAATGTTGAAATGTTGGCAGTTATATTCTCTGTACGGCGTTTGCGTGTCTTGAAGTCCCATCAGTCTAATCTGCTTACATGCAAAATGAGACCGCAACACATAGACACGGCTCTTTTATTTTGTTAATTACTAGTTTGTAATTCTAATAACAGTCAGTAATGAGCTACTTCTAGGGCAAACTATTAAATATGCATCTCTGATTCTACTGAATGGAGAGGATACCCAGAATAAAGTGAAGATGCTTTGTTTCTGTTTCTGCATTTGTTTATATTGAAGGGGAAGAGATTTGCTGTTTGGGGGCTGCGTGATGGGGTTGTTTAATATTTTTTAGCTCAATGTCCACCATCTCCATTTAACCTCATTCTTGTTCACTTACCTGCTGGAAAAACTGGGGCTTTGGATACATAGGATGGGGTGGATGCATCAAATTTCCCCCAAATTAGATTTTTATTCAATTACAGCAGTATTAATGCACTCAAAAACTTTTGGAGCGGGGTCTATAATGTATTGTGGGCCTTACTGCAACATGGCCAAGGTGGTGTTTTCAGTCAAGTACATACATTAGCACTGATAGAAGATGAAGTGAGAATTTAATAGCTAGGCTGAATTTTCCCAAGTCCTAGGAAAATTCAGAACTTAGCCTAACTCCACACAATTTTGCAATTAAGCCTTGATGAAATGGATTAAATTGAAAACCTAGAGCTGAGTAGCCCTTCAGTGCTGAAGAAATGAAAATTTTCCAAGTACGTTGCTTAACCACTGTCCTAACTTACGCAGAGCTGATAAAAGCTTTGTGCTTGAGAGGCTGGTGCTGTCCTTCCATCAGAGAAGATCACAAGATGTGCCATCTTTTCTGGAGATCCACTGTTGTGGCTTTCAACATTTTTTTAAAATCACTGCATTTTTCCTCATTTCTGTCATAAGAAAAAGAAAATTCAAGGTGAATGATGAGATTTTGGATTAAAATAGCATATAAACATGTAGGCGTATTTTGATTAGGAGCGGCAAAAGTGACTGTTGAAAAAATCTTAATACATAACAGTTTCAGCATTTCTTTGGCTTCCACCTTTCTTATAAGAGGTGGAGATTGAGAAGAGAGGCTGTTGTGGTGCAATTTATATTTTTATTAATCATTAAAGGACTGCTGCATCAAAATCCTGTGGTCAGTTATTTCCTTGCTAGTCCTCAAGCACCAGTAGCCTGCGTGCTGCGAGGGGACTGGGAATGCACTAGGATCATTTTATAGGAGTGGTAAGGTATGTGTCTGCAATTAATCAAAGGAGCAAGAAGATTAATTGCAGTGCAGAGCTCAGAGAACCTCTCTTTTGGATTAGAGCATCCTACTTGAATAAAGCTGTGTAAAGCTATTGGATGATCTGGACTTTAATAAACCAAAGATACCCATTGCTCCCGCTAAGTACTCATTTCTCTCCTGCTGCTCCAGTCATACCACCTCTCAGGCTATATATTAATATCTTTTTTGCACATGGTAAATCAAGTATTTTACTGTAACACTCCATGATGTTCAGTTTCTTTGACTTTCTGTCCACTGCTGTTCTTGCTGAAAAGGAGAAAATGAGCTCCTCATCAACTTTAAATTTTGAAAAATTAAAATGCTTTTTTATTATTCATTCTAATTTAGACTTATCTCTCTCCTGATTACGTCACCCTCTTTTAGTGGTGTGTTTGCTCATTGGATTTAGGTAATTAGGCTTTATTCTGTGCAGTGGGATCTGTGGTTACAGCCAGTGTGGTGATGGTGGGTTTCTGCTGTAGTCGGCACTGACTGACAGCTTTTAAGTAGTGCCCTGAACAACACGATTAACATCAATCTCCTATCAGTTTCCGCAGAGACTGCTCAGTCACAAATGTATTCAGGGGAATGTTTTGTTTTGAAATGCTGTTTTAATACTCTGTGTATAAAAGCATACATATTTATGCATCTGTCTGTGGGTAGATACAGAAATAAACCCGTAGCTGGTATGAAAGAGTGCCTTTGTGCTATCACCCACCTGTGTTAGATAAGAGCGGGTACGCTTGCTTTAACCATGGTAGGGCTGTCTGTTGTCTAAATTCTGTTCTGCAATTCCAATCTGAAGGGCTGCCTTAGAAAGCTCAAAATAACCACTGGCAGAGAAAAAAAACCCCAACCCTGTCTTTGTGCTACGACTCTGAAGAAGATGGTGCTGCCCTTCCCATCCAGCACCACCACCTTTGTGTCACTGCACAAAGCGCGTTTGGGCCTTTGCTTTTAACTTTTAGTTAAAACTTTTTTAACGGGCTCAAGATGTGAGGCAAGTGCCAGAAGCGGTGCCAGCACCAGAGCAAGGAAAGGAAAGATAAGGATTCATGGAAGGATTAAAACCCTCTTAAACTCTGTTCCCTCTATTCCCCCTGGTAAAACCCATGCCTGCTTATATATGCAAGTATGTATTCTCCAAGGCATGGACACAAAATCCCTGCATTAGTTTGCAAATGACTGGTGCGTGTACACACAGGGCTGTTCCTACACCTGTACTTACAGACACACACACCACTGTGCATGTCAGAGCAGGCCCCAGGGACAGCTTTGTGGCAGCAGCTCCTACGTTGCATTCAGCCAGCCTGCAGCCAGCTCTAACCCTTATCAGTGGTAAAATAACCCAAACCTGCTGCTGGTTTGGAACAACAAAGAATCCTCTCCCTGTCCCATCTTCCCCTCGATTAGGAATAATCTCTTTATGGATGTTAATTGTTGAAAAAATCTTAATACATAACAGTTTCAGCATTTCTTTGGCTTCCACCTTTCTTATAAGAGGTGGAGATTGAGAAGAGAGGCTGTTGTGGTGCAATTTATATTTTTATTAATCATTAAAGGACTGCTGCATCAAAATCCTGTGGTCAGTTATTTCCTTGCTAGTCCTCAAGCACCAGTAGCCTGCGTGCTGCGAGGGGACTGGGAATGCACTAGGATCATTTTATAGGAGTGGTAAGGTATGTGTCTGCAATTAATCAAAGGAGCAAGAAGATTAATTGCAGTGCAGAGCTCAGAGAACCTCTCTTTTGGATTAGAGCATCCTACTTGAATAAAGCTGTGTAAAGCTATTGGATGATCTGGACTTTAATAAACCAAAGATACCCATTGCTCCCGCTAAGTACTCATTTCTCTCCTGCTGCTCCAGTCATACCACCTCTCAGGCTATATATTAATATCTTTTTTGCACATGGTAAATCAAGTATTTTACTGTAACACTCCATGATGTTCAGTTTCTTTGACTTTCTGTCCACTGCTGTTCTTGCTGAAAAGGAGAAAATGAGCTCCTCATCAACTTTAAATTTTGAAAAATTAAAATGCTTTTTTATTATTCATTCTAATTTAGACTTATCTCTCTCCTGATTACGTCACCCTCTTTTAGTGGTGTGTTTGCTCATTGGATTTAGGTAATTAGGCTTTATTCTGTGCAGTGGGATCTGTGGTTACAGCCAGTGTGGTGATGGTGGGTTTCTGCTGTAGTCGGCACTGACTGACAGCTTTTAAGTAGTGCCCTGAACAACACGATTAACATCAATCTCCTATCAGTTTCCGCAGAGACTGCTCAGTCACAAATGTATTCAGGGGAATGTTTTGTTTTGAAATGCTGTTTTAATACTCTGTGTATAAAAGCATACATATTTATGCATCTGTCTGTGGGTAGATACAGAAATAAACCCGTAGCTGGTATGAAAGAGTGCCTTTGTGCTATCACCCACCTGTGTTAGATAAGAGCGGGTACGCTTGCTTTAACCATGGTAGGGCTGTCTGTTGTCTAAATTCTGTTCTGCAATTCCAATCTGAAGGGCTGCCTTAGAAAGCTCAAAATAACCACTGGCAGAGAAAAAAAACCCCAACCCTGTCTTTGTGCTACGACTCTGAAGAAGATGGTGCTGCCCTTCCCATCCAGCACCACCACCTTTGTGTCACTGCACAAAGCGCGTTTGGGCCTTTGCTTTTAACTTTTAGTTAAAACTTTTTTAACGGGCTCAAGATGTGAGGCAAGTGCC